TGTATATATATATATATATATATATATATATATTGTTACCTCACAGTCTCAATTCATTTTTAAGTTCTGAAAATCCAGAAATTTTATTCTGTAGAAATATATATAAAAAAATAGAAGAACAAATACAGTATGTCCTCACTGAAATGAAGCAGACGCTGGAGGGCTGCCGAGCAGATGGAAGTCACTGCTGTCAGCACTTCTCATGTGCGTTACTGAAACATTCCCTCACCCCACGCCTTCACAACTCTTCACTGCTCACTCAGTCATGGTACATTTATGATAAGAGCAATCTACCACTGGATTCTACTAATCTACTAACTGGACATCTAACAGAAGCTCTTTTTTTCCAAGTGGGTTACAGTTGATTAATTGCAGTGACAGGCAATCTGGGTTTAACATCCTGTAAGCAGGCTGAGGAACACAACAGTAATAGGCCTTTAATTAAAACATCAGGATGTCTAACACTCCTACGCCCCCACAGACCACCTGGTTAAATGACTAAGTACTTTTTGTTCAAGATACCTAGTAGCAATACACAATACCATTCAAAAGTTTGGGTTCAATAAGACTTTTTCTTAGTAATTAATACTGCTATCAGCAAGGATGCATTAAATTGATCAAAAGTGACAGTAAAGACATTTATAATGTTACAAAAGGTTTCTATTTAAAAAAAAAAGCTAATTCAAGTGTCATGTGACACTGAAGACTGGAGTAATGGCTGTTGACAATTTAAGTTATTTATATGTTAAATAGTATATTAAAATAGAAAACCCTTACTTTAAATTGTAATAATATTTCACAATATTACTGTTTTTACTGTATATTTAAGAGACTTATTTAAAAAAATTTTTTAAGCATATATATATTTTTGAGCACACCTGTATATTGCAGTGGTCTTGGTATTAACTGATTTCAGATTTACCCTACCCTAAAAGAAAGTTTATGGCTGTTTGTGTTACCTGTTGGCCCGAAGGCTGGGTTGGATTGTAGACCAGACCTTACGTTGATGGTCAAAACTCTCTATGACTACCACTACCCAGATTTGAGATGTGGATCTGATAGAATGTCTGCAATGAAGAGCTTTTGGCTCATGAAAGGAATGTTCTGGGTTGATTACAAGGCTAACTCGACAGTTAATGCAATAGCTTTAAATAAAAATGCATTAACTTAGATTAATAAATGCAGTAAAAATAATTGTTCATTGTATGGCTGCACAATTAATCGAATTTCTAATCGCAATTACAATTATGGATGCCACTATTACGTAATCGTTCAAAGCGGCAATTAATCGTTCAAAGTCCACTTATGTTATTCTGTACGCTTAAGATGTTTTTTCTTTCTTTCTACATGTTATCTTAAGGGTTTTTCCATTGTTTTAGTTTTACTTTTTTTTATCATTTAAAGAAGAAACCAATCCGATGTATATTTGACATTTGAGGCTTAATACTATACAGTAGAAAAGCACTAAAGGTTTTTCAGTTAGAGTGTTTTCAGCTTGTTTATTTTCATATAAAAATACGGCATGCAGTTGCATCAAACAATGGTATAAACATCATTCAATGTAAATTGTGATAATCGTAATTAATAATCGTAATTACAATTTCAAGGGAATAATCGACAATTATGATTTTTGTCATAATCGCGCAGCCCTAGTTCATTGTTAGTTGGTGATACTTTTTGTGTTAACTAATGTTAACAAACTGGAAAGTGAAAGTCTACTAAAAAGTTACGCATATGAATTAATGTTCATTATTTGAGATGTTGTCTAAATTGTCTAGGTAGATCATCTGGTTATGTATTTGCACAGAAATTCTGCTTAGTGGAGTTTTCTCTATAAAAAGAGTGCTTTACAGATAGTTAAGTCACGTCTCTCTCTGGAGTCCTTGCATGTATAATGAAAGTTGCTTTTATTATTTTTTTATAAGGTTTATATTATTGTGACAATGAAGTTGAAAAATGTCATAAGTCATTAGGCCAGTCTAATCTTTGTTTAGAAACTATAATTTTTTTTAATTATATTTTTTGTATTCTTTTCCTATCCCCATGAGTGTTTATGCATTTTCTTGCAACTGCATTTTTGGGTGGACAGAGGGACGAAATTATTTCCTGTGGTAACTGTCATCATGCCACAAAAGCTGAAGTTGTATTGAACCCAGAGCATTCCTTTGAACCGTCTCCACTGTGTCCCTCCACAGGAGCTCAGGAGTCAAGTATAATAAAATCTGGTATGCAGCGCTGGCTCTGGTCACGCTGGTGCTGTTCTCCGTGGCAGTGGGAGCCTTGGTGTTTATGATCATGTTCTACACGGACCCAGAGGCCTGCTTCCTCAACAAGCTCTTCCTGGGTGTCAACGGCGGCCTCTGCTTAGTCGTGTCTCTGCTGGCTATCTCACCCTGCATTCAGACCTGTGAGTTTACAAAGACTTCACTGACCTACATTTTATACTAACAAACAGATGTTTGTTTGATGTAAGGCAAACAAATTTATTCATAGTGCCTGGAGCTTTTCCCATGTGTGAGCAAGCTGGAGAGTTGAGGAGTAGAGTTTTATCAAGGATTCTCACTAAACAGAACAAAGTTTGAGGTGAAATTGTTTTAGCAAGTCATTTAAGTAAAATACATTGTTCTTTTGAACTTTCTGGGGGGAAAAGCAGCTCAACTTTTTTCAACATTGATAATAATAGAAAATGTTTCTTGAGCACCAAATCTGCATATGTGACCCTGGACCACAAAACCAGTCATAATGGTCAGTTTTTCGAAATTGAGATTTATACATCACCAGAAAGATAAAACATCATCTGAATAAATAAGCTTTCCATTTAATGTATGGTTTGTTGAGATAGGACGATATTTGGCCGAGATACAATTATTTGAAAATCTGGAATCTGAGGGTGCCAAAAAATCAAAATATTGAGAAAATCGCCTTTAAAGTTGTCCAAATGAAGTTCTTAGCAATGCATATTACTAATCAAAAATTAAGTTTTAATATATTTACGGTAGGAAATTTACAAAATATCTTCATGGAACATGATCTTTTCTTAATATCCTAATGATTTTTGGCATAAAAGAAAAATCGATAATTTTGACCCATACAATGTATTGTTGCCTATTGCTACAAATATACCCCAGCGACTTAAGACTGGTTTTGTGGTCCAGGGTCACATATATGATGTGACACTGAAGACTAGAATTTTGCCTTTACAATAATAAGTTACATTTTAAAATATATTAGAATACTAAAGATAATTTAAATGGTAAAAGAAACACAATATTACAGTTTTTACTGTATTTTTGTGCAAACAAATGTAGCCTTGGTGAGCATAATAGACCATTGTTAAAAAATCATACTGACCTCAAACTTTTGAATGGTAGTGTACATAGTTAATTTAATAAAGAAGTGTGATGTATGAAGCATAAACTCGCAAACAGACATGGCCAGATCAGTTTATATGCTGCTTTTTACTAACACATCTGATGTTTTGTTCTGTTCTGCACACAGTCCAGCCCACCTCAGGTCTGCTGCAGTCCGCGATCATCTCCGTCTACGTCATGTACCTCACCTTCTCCGCACTCGCCAGCAAACCCGTTGAAAGTGAGTATGTCTCTCACTCAAACACAGCATCTCTCAGCCTGTCCTGGGTGTGTCTCACAGTGTGGTCTGTGGTTTCCTTAGTGTCTCCAACTGTAGCTTGTGTGTGGACAGAGCTGTAAACTGAGGCTACAGTAGCCCCAATAATGCATTTCAACCCACCAGACTTGTGCAGTTATTTCCCACACCCTTATTAAAATTCGTCCTGTGCTCTTTCTCTTTCAGTGGTGGAGCGAAACGGAAAAAATGTCACTGTCTGCGTCTTTCCCTACAAATCAGGACTGCAAAGCGACACGAACATAGTGACGGGCGTCGGCACGGTCATACTGTTTGGCTGTATACTCTATTCTTGGTATGAGCAATGAAAATCGTGTTTACTGAAGTTGTGATGGCCCAGTCCAAACTGCTTTATAAAAAGCACCATGATAGTATCATGAAAGCTATTATCGTTCATATGACTTGTGCATTATATTCCAAGATTTTCCAAGTCATACAATAGTTTTATATGAAAAACAGACCAAAATTTAAAGGAATTGTTTGCCCAAAAATGAAAATTGATGCCACAAAAATTACCCTTCTTTCTTTTTCAGTGGTGGAGCGAAACGGAAAAAATGTCACTGTCTGCGTCTTTCCCTACAAATCAGGACTGCAAAGCGACACGAACATAGTGACGGGCGTCGGCACGGTCATACTGTTTGGCTGTATACTCTATTCTTGGTATGAGCAATGAAAATCGTGTTTACTGAAGTTGTGATGGCCCAGTCCAAACTGCTTTATAAAAAGCACCATGATAGTATCATGAAAGCTATTATCGTTCATATGACTTGTGCATTATATTCCAAGATTTTCCAAGTCATACAATAGTTTTATATGAAAAACAGACCAAAATTTAAAGGAATTGTTTGCCCAAAAATGAAAATTGATGCCACAAAAATTACCCTCAGGCCATCAAAAATGTAGTTGAGTTTGTTCTTCATCAGAAAAGATTTTGAAGAAATTTAGCATTACATCACTTGCTCATCAGTGGATCCTCTGCAGTGAATGGGTGCCGTCAGAATGAGAGTCAAACAGCTGATAAAAACATCACAATATTCCACAAGTAATCCACACAAAGCTAAAATCTGTGGGTCCATAATTCTTCCAGTGGAAAAAAAAAAACACCCCCTGTTGTCCTCTTAAATCAAAATTCACGGACATATTTATTTAGAACTGTTTTGGACTGTTTTTGCTTGTAAAAATAAAGGCGCTATCTTTATAAATAAACCACAGATTTGAGTTTTAAACAACTACATTCTCGCCTGAAAAACTCTTAAAACTACATTTCATGACACAATAACAGTAATATTTTGAAAATTATGTGGGTTTTTGGGCAATGACGTTTAGAGATCGACCGATATATCGATTTAGCAATATTTTTCCCGATATTTAAGCATTTTACAATAATCGGATATCGGTTTTGTAATATCGGATTCTTACTTCACTCAGTCATTTATTTACTTTATAACAGTAAATAAATATCGGTTCTGCATATCGGTTATCGGGCACATAAACATGCAAATAATTGGTATCGGTATCGGTTATAAAATATCAATATCTGTCGATCACTAATGACGTTTCACAAGACCACAAGAACAGAAAAGAACGCATATTGAGAAATGGCTATTGTCTGTGTGAAAATATGCAAATATAAAATACACTGTTATATTTTTTTGTGTTTGCGCGCTCTGATGTAAATAAGCCCAACACTCATGGACAGCAGAGCGGAACGAGTGAAGGCGAAGCTTTATCCCCTTGCATCACGCAAAAGTGACGATTCTAGTCAACCAATCAACGTTCTGCAGTGAGTTCAGCTCCACCCTTTTGGTACACTTTGCTGTGCTAGTTACCCCAACGGAAGGGTACCAAAAAAGTGGTACGGTACGGTTCGCTATTTTGGTACCATTCACAACTTCTGACAATGGAAACGGACATAATTGCGTACCGTACCGTACTGTACTGAACCGTACCGCTCGGTGGAAACGAGCCATAAGTGGCACTTAATCTATGCATATTTCTCTCCTGATTCAGACAAGACAACTTTTTCACTGAATTAAGCAATAGTATTTTTTATTTATTCGTTCATTTATTTTTTTCATTTATGGGTGAACTATTCCTTTAAAATTTAAATTTCTGGAAATCATCCCCTCGGCCATAATTCACAAAAAAAAAAAATCTTCAAAAGTATTGTTAATTTGTGTAAGTAAGCCATTTATTTTATTCCACTGAAGAAAACATAATACAGTTTGGAAAGGCATGAATTTTGGGTGAACTATCCCTTTAAATAAGCTGGGATATTCTTGGCCTGGATGCAAGTCCCCATAACATATTATTTAAATGGGTGATCCCAAAAATGATCCTGGGAGGAGTGGAAACATGTAATTATCTGGTTATGACAAGATGTTCATTTAGATTTAAAAGCAGGTAGTTTGGTAGGAAGGGAGTGAAGATTAGAAGCTCTCATACTGTGAAGACGTGAACTCACATGTGTTTCTCATTAACTGCAGACATGTCTGCTGAAGCTCTCTCTTTAGAGCCACTCCTCTCCTCCAAAGCCATATTTACACACGTACGTGTTAGTTGTCAGATCGGTGATTCATTATCCCAAAAACCTGGGAGGAGTGGAAACATGTAATTATCTGGTTATGACAAGATGTTCATTTAGATTTAAAAGCAGGTAGTTTGGTAGGAAGGGAGTGAAGATTAGAAGCTCTCATACTGTGAAGACGTGAACTCACATGTTTCTCATTAACTGCAGACATGCCTGCTGAAGCTCTCTCTTTAGAGCCACTCCTCTCCTCCAAAGCCATATTTACACACGTACGTGTTAGTTGTCAGATCGGTGATTCATTGTTGTGTCTCGCATCTAAATGTTTTTGCCATATTTCTAGTTTTCATGAGGCCAAACAAATCTTTGAAGCAGAAAAAGTGACTTATTTTTTCGTCTGGTGGCATTTTGAAGAGTTTTAGGGAATGCTCTGCTTTTACATTTGATGGTTAAAAAAGAACACTGCCCCCATGTGTCTGATGCCTTTTGAGTTAACATAAAAATACTCTTCCTTCAGTTTGATCTCCACCACCAAGAGGAGCTCAACAGCATTGCAGGTGTACAGGAACGATATGCCTGAAAATGAGGTGAACATTTGCTGTGTTCTCTCTCTGCTGTGTTTAACATTACATCAAACTATATCATAAATCACTCTTCTTCTTTCTTTTCAGAGAGCACGCTGTTGCTTCTGCTGTGTTGACGATACAGGTAAGACACTTATTTCAACCAACACCTCCTCTAGTATTTTAGGACAATACTTGACGATTTCAAACTTAAATGTTAGAGGAATAACATATTTTTAACATTCATTTGGATTCATTTAGACCAGGGGTGTCCAAACTCAGTCCTGGAGGGCCGGTGTCCTGCAGAGTTTAGCTCAAACTTGCCTCAACACACCTGCCGAGAAGTTTCTAGCATGCCTAGTATAACCTTGATTAGGTGGTTCAGTTGTGTTGAACTGGGGTTGGAGCTAAACTCTGCAGGACAGTGGCCCTCCAGGACCGAGTTTGGATACCCCTGATTTAGACACTTGAAAAAAGGTAGATGGAGCCTCGTGGTGGTCAAGAAGAAGTACTACAGTTTCTTAAAACGGATGACTTTTTTAATATTTTCCAGAGGACTATGATGATGAGAAGACTGCTGGAGGGCAGAATGTGAAGTATGATGAGAGAGACGGCACAATCTACAGCATTTATTTTTAAAGTATAATTAATATAAAATAATACTAGTATTTTTACTATTGTAGTCATTTAATTGTATTCTTTTTAATTGTATTTTATTACTGTAGTATTCTTGTTTGTTACTGTTATTGTTAACAGCAGAAGCTCAGAGGTCGCCGTGCATTAAAGGGGTATTTCACCCACAAATGAAAATTCTGTCATTAATTACTCACCCTCATGTCGTTCCAAACCTGTAAGACCTTCATTCATCTTCGGAACACAAATTAATATATTCTCGTGAATGCACAGCGGAGAATGACACAGAAGAGAAGAATTGAATGAAGTTGTTATTTTTGTTTTCTTTGCGTACAAAAAGTATTCTCGTAGCTTC